AGCTCTCATCCTTTCTGTAATCATTTCTTAATTCATTATCATTCCTTTCCTAGTTTGCTCCTTACACAACACGGTCTATGGCATTTTGTTGCTAGCGATTCATCTCATCGCCTGTATCATTCATAGAGGATATCCTTGTGAATTCTCTCAAACTCCAGTGTCCAGGTGTGATACAGCCATCTTAGCTTTCGGATACTGGTGGGCATTGAGGAAACAAAAAGATAAAAAATACCGGCTTTTTCAACATTCCTGAAGGCAATAAACTGTGTGTGTATATATACATACACAGAGAGAGTTGTCGAGAGAGACTTGAGTTGTCGAGAGTAGGCTTTAGAGAGGAGAGAGAGAGGGTTTGAGAGGGAGGCTTTAGAGAGAGAGAGAGTTGTTCTGTGTAGAAGAGGGAGGGGGAGAGACTCTCTGCACTAACAATGTAATTACTTCTGAATGCTGTTATCCTGGAAAAACCTACTGCTCTGCACTTGAGTTGTCGTGTTGTAGGGTTTACTTGAGTTGTCGTGTTGTAGGGTTTACTTGAGTTGTCGTGTTGTAGGGTTTTCATGAAGTATCCAACTGTTGTCTGGTCTATAAAGTTGCTGCTTTAAAATTGATTCTATAGTAGCATCATCTTGTGTCATGCCGAGAAACAGGGGTTACCATTGTCCTTTCTGCAGACTGCTCTTGCTGGATTTCAAGTTTGTATTGTGCCACTCACCGTCTTCCAAGGCAAACTGTCAAACAAACAAACATACATTCCTCCACTCTTGCCTAGAGTTACGTAATATCATCACAGCTGTGGCAGTCTTGTCCCCGGAGATCTCTCTGGTCAAGTCTTGTGCCTTGCGCTGTCAGAGTTGATGGTTCCACTTTGTACCTGCGTCCCTTGAGTAGCCAGATGAAGATAGAAGTGAATTGATGACACATGTGTTTAGACAGGAGATAGTGCAATGACTAGGATTATATTGATCTGCCAAATGTCTGGGATGAGACAATTATATAATGTAGCGATATTATCATTTTCACATTCACTGGCCACAACAGTTAAAAAACATGTTGAGGTTAAGATGTACACATAGATGATAAGGATGAGGACGATGACGATTGCGATAACCAAGATAAAGAACGAGACTCAACAGAAGAAAGAAGATTAAAAACAATTTGACGTAATAAATTACTAAAACCAAACAGTTCGTAAAATTGATTTGCTATTGTTTACAATTAGTAATCTTTATTTTCTTTTGTTTTTGGTGTTAGAAACAGAGATTTAGAATTCTGGGACTTTGCTGTCCAGTTCTGAGGTTGAAGCTGTCCAGTTCTGAGGTTGAAACTGCAAATTCTGAGGTTGAAGCTGCAAGTTCTGAGGTTGAAGCTGTCCAGTTCTGAGGTTGAAGCTGCAAGTTCTGAGGTTGAAGCTGTCCAGTTCTGAGGTTGAAGCTGCAAGTTCTGAGGTTGAAGCTGTCCAGTTCTGAGGTTGAAGCTGCAAGTTCTGAGGTTGAAGCTGTCCAATTCTGAGGTTGAAGCTGCAAGTTCTGAGGTTGAAGCTGTCCAGTTCTGAGGTTGAAGCTGCAAGTTCTGAGGTTGAAGCTGCAAGTTCTGAGGTTAAAGCTGCAAGTTCTGAGGTTGAAGCTGTCCAGTTCTGAGGTTGAACCTGCAAGTTCTGAGGTTGAAGCTGCAAGTTCTGAGGTTGAAGCTGCAAGTGGTCGACGCCAGAACTCAAACATGAACTCCACCGATGCCAACCAGCACCTGGTTATAGATGGCACTCAGGACCTGGACATTTTCCAGTTTCTGGGTTTGAGTAAAGGAAAGATGGAGGGGTGAGTAAAGGAAGATGGAGGGGTGAGTAAGCAAAGCCTTATTAACATCTGTTTCGGAAGCACGGTATTTGTATATTCTGAAAGCAATACTGGAGATGAAGGCAGAAGACTGTCGACAATGCAGGTAGACGGAAATGTAAACCTAAACGTATATCATTATCATCATGCAACGTGCCGACAAGCGTACGCTGTCATGCGTCGACACCTCATACGCAAAATCTGTTTTTGTCCCACCCTATCCACCTGGCCAGGCCATGACAGTATTTATCTCTTTGCTGTTCCCCTTAATCTCCTTCCACCAATCTTGTCAGTTGTTACCAAGTGCTGGAGTCCATTCCTCCTAACAGTATGTCCAACCAATATTGACTGTCGACGTCTGATTGTTCTAATAGGTCAACAACTTTCATAGGTCTCGATGAGGACTGCTTAGTTTGTTTGTCCATCCTTCCATGAAATTATGTGCATTTGTCTGAGAAACCACATCTCTGGGGGCATATTTGGTCAAAGTATGTCTGGAAAAGACAACTGCTACTTCTTCTTCGTGGCGTTCAGCGGCTATAAAGTTTTGGTTGTTCGTCCACCACTTAAGGACTCTGATGTTGATCCACAACGTCAGTTCAGCATGGATTTAGGTTTTCAGATCTGGCTTGTTGGTATGCAGACTGTTGGGACGATGTCTCTCATGTAGATACAGATCTGGTTTGTTGGTATGCAGACTGTTGGGACGATGTTTCTCATGTAGATACAGATCTGGCTTGTTGGTATGCAGACTGTTGGGGCGATGTTTCTCATGTAGATACAGATCTGGCTTGTTTGTATGTAGACTGTTGGGGTGATGTCTCTCATGTAGATACAGATCTGGTTTGTTGGTATGCAGACGTTGGGGCGATGTCTCTCATGTAGATACAGATCTGGTTTGTTGGTATGCAGACGTTGGGGCGATGTCTCTCATGTAGATACAGATCTGGTTTGTTGGTATGCAGACTGTTAGGACGATTTTTCTCATGTAGATGTACTCCTGCTTTAGAACAAACACTCCCAGTCAGTCGCCTTCTACGATAGCCAGACAAGATCCTCGATAAAATTTCATCATGACATGGATGAAAGTCCTCACTCTCACTGAAACTTGCCGTTGAAGACTGCAGTATGTGAAGAAGTGTAATCGTATGATCGCCCATGCCAGTCGGCATAACGCTAGATGATGGTGATCACGACATTAAAAAACAATGATGACACGAGAGTTACAGCAGAATATTTCAACGGCTGGAAGTAAACATTAACAGTTGCCTTATCTGTTTTGTAAAATGAACAACAGGAACGCCATCATCATCTAGCATGTCCTCTGTAAAACGTCGCTCTTATCACGGTCTACCTGAAAAAAGGTCGGTCTGTCGCCAGCTCTCCCGCCTTGTGTCCGTTCTTTTTCAAGGAGTCACTTATATCCTGGGCCCGCCTTTGTGTTGGTCGGCCCCTGCCCCTCCTTCATGGTATCATGCCTTCTGCCATTTTTTTCCCAGTCTGCCATGGTGCTTGCTATGACCACAATATTTCAGCTTCTGAGACAAGATGCGGTTTATTAGCCAATCTTCCCTGATGTTCAGATCTTTTAGAATGTCAGTATTTCTTCTCTTCTTTGTCTATGGTATGAGAAACTTTCTATATACCAAATGTAAGTGACGTTTCAATAGGAAATCTTCGCCATTCATTAGGGCAAAGATACAATTGTAATAAAGCAGGCGATAAAGCTGAAAACCGTATGAATAGACAAGCATGCAATAGTACAGTCAAAATACATCATCTTTGTCTGTTTCTATGTCTACGGGGGTAGAAACAGTGTTTGATCCGTTACTTCATGGGCAGCAATGACTATTGTCATTTCGTTTTCAATGTAGAAGCTGTTTATTAGCATCAGTCCATATCCCCCTAAAGCGACCTCTGACTTTCATATCAGATCTTTTTATGTGTAGCCTCCGCGTCAAAATACGTATGATACATAACTTTTGATTGCACATGCCTTACACGGCATTGCAGAACCAACCGCAGCATTCATTGACCATGTCCTTTTACCATGCAAATTTATTCTCAGTTATTGGCCATCGCTTCTGAACAGGCGACAATCGAAATCATTTTCAAAATCAAAGCATTTCGGTCTGCTGGTAAATTGCCATTAGCTTAAACTGAATTGGTGTTTTAGAAATGGTAACGCTTAAGCCACAAACTCCAGTAGATGATACAGACAATAATTATTTCAAATGTTAAATTCAGTACTAATTGCCAAAGCGGCTCTCCTCCGACTAACGGTCGGCAAAGATGGCGGCCGCAAAATATCCAGTCGAGCCACAGTCCAGTGTCATGTGTTGTAAACAGTCAAAAATTTAAGTGGAAACTTATAAGGAACGAAAACTAATAAGGAGCGACAAGAATGTAATATCAAATCGACTACTTACCGATAATTGTATGCCTTTATATCTGGTAATATGGCACAGACATTCTAAATAGTGCCCGAAAATCTGCTGTTTGTGGCTGTTACGCCATTGAAACTCGGCTAAGTACGATCGGAACAAGGCACGGCTCGTACCGCATTGGTAACGTATTTTCTTTTTAGTAGCATCCACAGACCGGCGATCCTCCGAATAACGGGCACAAAAGATGTCGACCAAAAACAGGGCCTCACTCACATGTCAATTTCGAACTTCCAGCGACTTAATTTGCGGTTTTTCGGCGACTACCGCCACCGCCGAGAGTATCGCCCACGTGGATTGGGGCTAAACTAGATGGCTAGGACTCACGAGCAAAGCTGCATGAGATGAGGAAGCTGCTGCTCGTGGGTCCCAGCCATCTAGTTTAGCCCCATCCGCGCCGCGGTTTGTTCCGTTTCTTGAAATTGTCAACGGACACTAATCCTAGTTTGGCCGCGAGATGTGCTCGTGACCGCAAGTGCGCAATAGACACGTGACTGTGGCTTGACTGGATATTTTGCGGCCGCCATCTTTGCCGACCGTTAGTCAGAGTCGTTAGCTTCTAATGCCTGTAAACACTTAGTGCTCCTCCCTCATATGATCTCCCTGTGATGTTGTTGATGCTTGTCGTTGATGCTTGTTGTTGATGCTTGTTGTTGATGCTTGTTGTTGATGCTTGTTGTTGATGCTGGTTGCTGATGCCATGTAATTATGTACTGATCTGCAGGTACCTAGAGGCTGACCGGATCATACAATTAGCTAATCGGATCAGCGATCTCTACATCTGGATACTTGTCGCCATTGGACTCCCCGGAAACATCTTCACCATCATTACCGTAGCAGCAATGAAGATCATCTGTCCTGCCAAATTTCTCATCTCCCTGCTGGCCGCACTAGACACTGTTTCCCTGATCTGTAAACTCACTGGTCACCAAATGGTCAGGAATGCAGTCTACATTGGACCCGTGGGGTGTAAGTTCGAGTTTATAATCCCGTACACAGCAACGCTAGCCAACTGGGTTCTAGTCCTCATCTGTGCTGAAAGATTTGTTACAGTGTGTTTTAAAGAGAGGAAGACTTTGATCTTCTCACTCAGAAACTGCCACATCATGGTTGTCGTCCTGTCAGCTTTTCTCCTTCTGATCTTTGCCTGCATCTCTATGCCAATGAGATCAGCAAATTTCTCAGGCTTCTTCTGTGGGACTTACAATAAATACGTGTGGTTCTGGATCCACGTCTGGTACTGGATAAACTCATGTCTCTACCTGTTCCTGCCCTCAATGTTTATTGTCCCGATGACAGCGCTTATGCTCCACAGGCTTCGTGTGTCAAACAGGAATGGCATTCTGCAGCAGAATGACGACATTGGAAGTGAGAGCCAAGCCCCGGTGGCTGGGAAGTCCGACCTTACAGAGGAAGAGCTGGAGAATAATGAAAGGATGTTTACTCTGATGGTTTTTCTAGCTGCAGTCTTTTTCGTCATTTTATGTCTGCCAGCGTGCATCTTTTATTTATCTTACCGCCATCATGACGATGTTCTCACCCATGCTCAGTGGGCCTTATATGAGCAATTTCAGTTCTTCCTGGCCGACTCCACCCACGCTATCAATTTCTTCTTGTACTTTCTGTCTGCCCGGCAGTTCCAGGCCAAGGCTTTGGACATCCTCTTGTGCAAACCTTGCAGGAAACACAGCTATTCTCCCGGACACAGGCTCGACTAGGTACTGGGGTCACATTCAGACACAGGCTCGACTAGGAACTGTGGTCAGATCTGGTGCCATCTTCACACAGAAGAAGATCAACTGTTGGGGATCTATGCTATTATTTCTGTTGTCAGCTGATGTAGCATATGATACACGAACCTTTACAATGATACAATTTGTTAATAGACCTATTGAGACTTTTCAAATGTGGGTATACAGAAGAATATGTCGTTTCTCATCTGGAAAACGATTAAATACAGTCTCTGAGGCAAAAAGAAATGAACAATTCTTCATCATCATCATCAATTTCCATTTCTGCCATTACACTGTGTGGGGAGGAACAGTTTGCAATCCACTGCTCTAGGGCAGCAATGTCTATTGCCCTTCTGTTTCGATGTTGTAATCCATCTTCTCCTAGGGCGGCCTCTTGATTGTCCTTCAGATCTTGTGCAGTGTAGCGCCTAAGTTGGTAGTTGTTCTAGCTGTATTCTTACTACATGACCAAACCATTCGATCTTCTGTTTCTCAATAAATTTGCTGCATGATGTTGTTGCTACAGTCTGTCTGATAACATGATTTCTAACTTTGTCTTAGATGGTTAAGTTAGCGGCTTTTCTCAGGCATCTTATTTTACAGGTGGTAATCTTCCGTAGGTTAGCCTTTGATAATGTCGAAGTCTGGCACCGGTAGCACAGTGTTGGTATGAATATGCTGTTTATAATCTGTTTCTTGGCACTCATACCTATGTTTGGATGTCTTAATAACGGTGTCAGTTGGTATACAAGTGCACTGGCTTGCTGGCTTCTTGTTTCTATATCCCCATCTATTCTATCGTCCTGCAAGAATATACTTCCTAGATATTTAAATTCTTTAACTGGCATCAGGCAAGTACTGTTCAACCCGATATCTAGCGAACTGGGAATTCTGCTGACCTAAATTACTTCAGTGCTAGTTGTATTTATTTTACTGTTATTTCTGCTGCATGTTGAACTTAGCCTGTTCAGATGTTTTTGCAGTTCACGTTTATTCTATTTGGATTTTATACTTCCTCTGGAAAGTAAGTTCCTCATTTTATGGATTTTCTGGGTCGAATGGTTTAAAGCTGTCGTTTTTTAAATATTTTGTTTATGTATGTGGTCAACAAAAGAGCAGAGAAAACATATCTCTGTCTCATCCCTGTATTGACTGTAAATATATCAGATATGATTTGAAATTACTGACAGAAATTCAGAACATCGATATATTTAGGCTACATAATAATAATACACCAATCTATATTGTTTGTTTCCAAACATACTTTAAATGCGTTGAGTTGATTCAAGAACTGACATCACAACACTCTGGCAATATACCATCAAGAGATAAACAGCTGTAGACAGGCAAGTAACAAGTAGACAGTGATATCAAGTGACAGGATACTATCAAGTGATGAACTGTTGCATATATGCAAGTAAACGTTAGACAGTGACAACATATGGCATGATAACATCAAGTGATGAACTGTTGCATATATACAAGTAAACGTCAGACAGTGACAACATATGGCATGACAACATCAAGTGATGAACTGTTGCATACATGCAAGTAAACGTCAGACAGTGACAACATATGGCAGGATAACATCAAGTGATAAACTGTTGCATATATGCAAGTAAACGTCAGACAGTGACAACATATGACAGGATACCATCAAGTGATGAACTGTTGCATATATGCAAGTAAACGTCAGACAGTGACAACATGTGACAGGATACCATTAAGTGATGAACTGTTGCATATATGCAAGTAAACGTCAGACAGTGACAACATATGACAGGATACCATCAAGTGATGAACTGTTGCATATATGCAAGTAAACGTCAGACAGTGACAACATATGGCAGGATACCATCAAGTGATGAACTGTTGCATATATGCAAGTAAACGTCAGACAGTGACAGCATATGGCAGGATAACATCAAGTGATAAACTAACAGCAATTTCAGAGAATCCACAGTTGAGAACGCGAGCAACAGAAACTCTTGGAGATCACATTAAGCCAGCTTTCCTTGTGCAGGCGGCATCTGATTGATGATGACAGTGTTTTTTTTTGTGTGGACAGTTTCCGTTGTATCACTGTGCAAGTGCTATCGTTCCACAATATTCTCTTTCTTTTTCACGTTTGCTTTTTCAGTCAGAATCAATATCTATGTGTTCCATACAGTGATAGCAGCGTGTGGTTATTTATACTTGTCCACACGTGTTCTTATCATGAGATAACATTTTTTGATAGTATTGATTATATTATGGTGATATTATTTAAGAATTCAGGTGAAGGTGGTCAGTGCAGCTTTTCACTAGCTTGAAAACCAGCTGCACACACGTCTTGATTGTAACTGACTCACAGAGCAAGCTGCACACACGTCTTGATTGTAACTGACTCACAGAGCAAGCTGCACACACGTCTTGATTGTAACTGACTCACAGAGCAAGCTGCACACACGTCTTGTTTGTAACTGACTCACAGAGCCAGCTGCACACACGTCTTGATTGTAGCTGACTCACAGAGCCAGCTGCACACACGTCTTCATTGTAACTGACTCATAGAGCAGGCTGTCCACACGTCTTGATTGTAACTGACTCACAGAGCAAGCTCTACACACGTCTTAATTGTAACTGACTCACATAGCAGGCTGCACACACGTCTTGTTTGTAACTGACTCACAGAGCCATCTGCACACACGTCTTGATTGTAGCTGACTCACAGAGCCAGCTGCACACACGTCTTCATTGTAACTGACTCACAGAGCAAGCTGCACACACGTCTTGATTGTATCTGACTCACAGAGCAGGCTGTCCACACGTCTTGATTGTAACTACTCACAGAGCAAGCTCTACACACGTCTTGATTGTAACTGACTCACAGAGCAAGCTGCACACACGTCTTGATTGTAACTGACACACAGACCAGGCTGCACACACGTCTTGATTGTAACTGACTCGCAGAGCAAGCTGCACACACGTCTTGATTGTAACTGACACACAGACCAGGCTGCACACACGTCTTGATTGTAACTGACTCACAGAGCAAGCTGCACACACGTCTTGATTGTAACTGACTCACAGAGCCAGCTGCACACACGTCTTGATTGTAACTGACTCACAGAGCAGGCTGCACACACGTCTTGATTGTAACTGACTCGTAGAGCAAAATGCACACACCTCTTGATTGTAACTGACTCACAGAGCGAGCTGAACACACGTCTTGATTGTACCTAGCTCACAGAGCAGGCTGCACACACGTCTTCATTGTAACTGACTCACATAGCAAGCTGCACACACGTCTTGATTGTACCTAGCTCACAGAGCAGGCTGCACACACGTCTTGATTGTAACTGACTCACAGAGCAGGCTGCACACACCTCTTGATTGTAACTGACTCACAGAGCAAGCTGCACACACGTCTTGATTGTAACTGACTCACAGAGCAAGCTGCACACACGTCTTGATTGTAACTGACTCACAGAGCAAGCTGCACACATGTCTGGATTGTAACTGACTCACAGATCAAGCTGCACACACGTCTTGATTGTATCTGACTCACAGAGCAGGCTGCACACACGTCTTCATTGTAACTGGCTCACAGAGCGAGCTGAGGAAAGACAAGAAACGCGTGCTCTGTTCTCGGTGTCAAAACATCGCTACAGATATCCTGGGCAGTTAGCATTCCTTCCATATCTTCTCTAGCTATGCCGGTGTGTTGGGTAACGAAACATGCAAACAGCTGGCTGGTTCTGCAATACTTGTTGGTAATACTTGTCGTGCATGCCAAACTTGTGGTGTTGAAGGCCGCTAGAAGGATAGAGAACAATGCCCAAGCACACATATGTCATGGTCTGAGAAGAATGGCGCAGCAACGACTGACCAGCAGATCTGTCAGACACTCAACACTCAGAAACAAAACCAGACGGATTTACAATCTGTTACTTGTACCAACAGAATTGGAACTCTACGTTAGCTGTAGAAGATGTGGATTGAGCGTTTATGGGGGACGTCTCCAGTGCCTTGATTTCGGTATTTAACTGAACTCTACTGATATCTGAGCCTTATATCTATGTGTTTCATACAACCATACGGCTGTGGAATATTATTGTTTGACCACACTGTGATGTATCTTCCGTGTTCAATGTTTGGGCCTGACCCTATTTCCAATTTCGGCCGTTGTTTAAAGTGTCGACTTCTGAGACTACATCTCAATCTGAATGGCAGACCAACAGGGCAAATGGCAGTTTCCCGATCAACCTCCAACGGAGTTATAACTAGAGCACCGTACTGGCTATATCGGACTAAAGTAAACTTCAATCAAGTGTTGGAAAGGATTTCGCGATTCAGTTTTTTTTTTTTTTAATTTTATCCATATTCGACTTCAGCTCCTCTCCCCTCCAAATGTTACGTTTTTCCAACTTGTGTTTGGCAAGTTTTAAACCTTGCTCTTTGTTTTTTATGTAGCTAGCGATTTGTTACGTAATTATTGGTGCTATGTCATACTGTGTGAAAGAAGAATTCTTGAAAACGTCGAAAGTAGGATGGGCATGTGTGCTAAAACTGTTGGCTTGTTATGGACAGATATGTTCACATTTAGGGTGGGGGGGGGGGGGGGGGGGGGGGGGGGGGGTTCTGTGCCCGCAAAGCAGACTGTAAAAGACGACCATGTATTATCTCAACGCCCCTGTCTCAATTCTATGCTTTATGAATATACCTGTCTATGGTAAACTTTCATGTAGAACGCATTATGTCAATCACCAGCTGAAACCCATATACATATGAAGACAGGGGCGACTGGAGTGCGTTTTCTCTGAGTAGTTGTGGGCAGACAACGGAGCAAATGTCTGTCAAAGTTTTTTAATCATTTTATAGCTGTATATATAAGCCATTTTATGCATGTGCTGTTTTATGATATTCTCCCCAACAGGCATGTTCATTTAGGACACATCTGGTCTTCAAGACTTTTCTTCCAGTGTTTAATTAAAGCACTTTTG